GGTTTTGGGACAGTTATACAGTTAACACTTTGCAGAATAGAAACTGTATACATCTGAGGGGATAGAGGAGCAGAGGCATGTCCCTTCTTCACTGCTCCTCCTGGGGAAGTGTGAGTGCTCCTTGGCTGAGGCAGCCATGTTCTGTGGCTCTGATGTGGCCTGTTCCTGCCCTTTAAACCTCCACTGCGGCAGTACCCAGCAGTCCTCCCTCCAGCTCTGTCTCACTGACCACTGGTCTGGTTCTCTTTCTCAGCAGGAAGATGAAGCCCCTCCCAGGCCCCCACTCCCCGAACTCTACAGCCCAGAGGACCAGCCCCCGGCCGTGCCGCCTCTGCCGAGAGAGGCCACCATCATCCGGCACACGTCTGTGCGGGGCCTCAAGCGGCAGTCAGATGAGAGGAAGCGAGACCGGGAGCTGGGGCAGTGTGTGAACGGGGACTCCAGGGTGAGCGGGGGACCCTGGGACTGCCACTCTGCATGTGGGGAAAGGGAAGGGGGTATGACACTGGCAGGTCACATCACCTGGGTCTCTGCCCACAGGTGGAGCTGCGGTCATATGTCAGTGAGCCTGAGCTGGCGACCCTCAGCGGGGACATGGCCCAGCCCTCCCTGGGACTTGTGGGCCCTGAGAGCAGGTACCAGACGCTGCCAGGCAGAGGTAAGGCAGGGTCCTCCCTGGAGTTTCTCTGGGAATCCCACCACACTGCTTCCAGCCCTCAGATGGTGCCTCGTACCCTTCTGTCTGCAGCTCCAGGCCTAGGAGTGAGCAGCAGCTCTCAGGGGGCTCTGGGCTGCCAAGAGGGAGGACCTGGCCTGCCTTCCTCTGGCCCACATCATGATTCTCTTCCTCTTTTGTTATATCTGTCCCCAGGAACAATGATAATAGCAGTTACTAGAAAGCCTGGCACTGTTTAAGTACTTTATATAGACATGATATTCACAACAATCCTATGAGGAAAGTACTGTCATCCCCATTTTAGAGACACAGAAACTAAGGCCCAGGGAAATTAAATAACTTGCCAATTAGCTGATCATTGATGGAACCAGAAGACCATCCCAGTGCTCTGGCTCCAGAGTCACTGCACCCTGCAGGCTGGGTTGCTGGGTGGCTGCCACCAGCTTGTCCATCTCAGACCTTCCAGAGTGCTTCTGTCTCTCGAATGAACCCTCAATGAACCCTTTCCTTAAATGTCTTCTTGCCAGTTGAGTGTCCTCACTTTCCTCCTCACCCCAAGTTGGGTTGTGCAGGGTGCCTAAGAATAGATCAGGGAGTGAAAGGCATTCCTGCCCCTCCAGTCTTTCCACCTGCCAGGCAGCCCGGTCATCTGCATGTAAGGAAAGCCTGCGGTGGTCCACAGATCTGCAGGGACACTGCCCTCCATCAGGGACAAAGGTCATCCCTGGGCTGGCCCCCATCCTCTATTGGGGACCTTGCTCTTCCAGGCCCTGGGGAGGAAGAAGAGAAGTAAGGGTGGGTCATTGGCTGGGTGCTCTTGGTCCTCCTACAAGAATGTGTGATGGGGGAGAAGCGGGAACCCACCCACACCAGCACAAACATGCTCGCACTTCTCTTTCCTCACGAAGGGCTGTCAGGGTCCATGTCAAGGCTCCAGCAGTCGTCCACCATTGCTCCCTACGTCACACTCCGGAGGGGTCTCAATGCCGAAAGCAGCAAGGCGACCTTCCCTGTGAGTGGCCTTGGGCTGTCGAGGACCTCCCTGCTCCTTCACATGGGGAGGGAGGGTCTCCCGGGGGACAGTAACTGGCCATCCCGTCAGCCCTGGGGATGGCCTCTGGGGTGGCCTCAGCCCCTCCTGAGCTCCCTCTCACCCACTGCCCACCAAGGAGGGCATCCTGCCTTTCTCTCTGGCCTGTCAGGGTGGCAGGAGGGAGCTCAAGAAGCCTGCACCCTGGGTTCTGGCCTCACTGGACAGGCCTGAGCCTCAGTGTCTGCATCTGCAGAATGGGTTCTGCTCAGAAAGCTCCTGAGGGTTGGGGGCATCATGTTGCTTAGAGGAAATAGTTCTCTAAGTCCAAGAGGAGCCCAACTAGAGTGTGCATGTGTGTGCATGTGCATGTGCATGTGTGTGAGAGACAGCGGGAATGCAGCCAGCGGAGTGGCTGTCCTCTGCATGCCCAGCCCAGCCGTTCTGTGTCTCTCTTGCCTGCCTCCTCTTCCTCAGAGACCCAAGAGTGCCTTGGAGCGCCTGTACTCAGGGGATCACCAGCGGGGCAAGATGAGTGCGGAGGAGCAGCTGGAGCGCATGAAGCGACACCAGAAGGCCCTGGTCCGAGAGCGCAAAAGGACACTGGGCCAAGGGGAGAGGATGGGCCTGCCCTCATCTCGCTACCTCAACCGGCCACTCCCTGGAGATCTTGGCTCAGTATGTTAGGAGGGGCCAGGCAGCGGGGCAGGGACAGGGAGCCAAGTGCCCCTCAGAGTCCCCCAAACACAAGCATATCACACCTCCCAGTGAGCGAGCCGTCCATTGACCTAAATGGTTGAGGGAACACCCCACGGGGCTGTTTGTCCACGACACAGGCTGGGCAAATGCCTGGTTAGAGGCTGACCTGAACCAGAGCTGGAGTGAGGATCAAACAGGCCCAGGAGCCTGAGGAAACACCCAGTCAGTCCTCCCAGCTGCGATGGAGAGGGGTCTTTGCAGGCATTCAGAATCTCAGCAGAATTCAGGATCTGGGAATACAGGGTTCAGAGAGGAGAGGAGGAAGATGGTGACATGATTTGATTAGAAGCACAAGCAAACCGATCAGCCTCCCACACCTGCCAGCAGATGCTGTGTGAGGGCGCTGGAGCACCGGGTCACACCCCTGCCCCAAGGGCCACTGGTCTCCCCAGGCTTGCAGTGCAGAGACCTCAGGGGTGTCAGGGAGAGCTGGAGAGGCCTGTGCTGCTCCCTGGTGGCGCTTCCTGGCGCTGTGCCCTGTCCACAGTCACCTTAGGTCCCTTTGGAAACGTTCCATTTGACTTTTCCCTGTTGTGTGAAATCCCATGTTTCCCTAAACCTCTAGCCTGATTGTTCTTTCCCTAATTCATTGCACAAGCTCCTTTGCTTTTAGTGTTACCGCTCGTTGCCTCTCTAATCCTGCCTGATTGTGTTTACAGAAGCTTCTGATTTGCATTGAACGTGCTCTAACTGGCCTGTGCTACTTGTTACCGGGCTTGTAATAGCGGTTCTTGTCTCCATAGCCCGTTGAGTGTTCCCAAATGTGACTCACCTTTCTGCTGCCCTCTTCATGCAGGCCTACTGACTCATAATTCACTTGTCCCAAAAGCCACCCCACAAGCCTGAGACAACCTGCTGCCCGAGGCCACAGTCATTGGCAGAGGTCTGGGCATTATTAATTTATAAAAATCCATGCCTTACACCTGGACGGTAGACAGGGACTTCAGAGACTGCACGTTTGAATACATTCTCCCAAGACTGAGGTTGTTCGGTTTTAATTCCTCTAGTCCAATCACACAATTTCTTTTGGAAAACCTTTTGTGTTTCTGGTATTTAATAACTTGAAGGGATAGCAAAATATACTGTGTATTCAGAGGGCCTCTCTGCAGCTGTTAGCTCAGACACCAAAGGGGTAAAACCCAGGGCATTCATATCTTTAAAAGCTGCAAACCTGGTAACTTTTAAACTTTTAAAACAAATGTCATATGGGGTAACACTGACCTTTTATAATTTGATGTCTCAAATGTAGAGATTATTTAAAACTCGTAACTTGAATACCTTGTAATTTTTCTCTTAAAAAAAAGACGTGTAAGTCTCTGCATCAACGCCAATAAACGTGTTGCTTAATAATAATGGATTGGCGTGGTTCTTCCCCAGGATACCTTGTAGAGTCTAGTGAACTTTTCCTGTTTGTGGAAACAATCAGGCTGGGTTTAAATGAGGACTTATCTCTATTTGGAGCATTTGTGAGCGTGTAAGGAAATGAGTGTTTTCTTTGTGAATCATTAAATTGATTTTTTCATCCTTGGAACTTCAATTGCCTAATCCTTTCCAACAATAATTGGAAACTGTCACCTAAGAGCGATTACACTGATTTGAGGTTATTATTGAGAGCTTGTGCATGAATGGGTGAAATGTGCAAATATGGCTCTGGGTTTGGGGTTTTGGAGGGACTTGAGGAGGCATCAAAGACAATCAGGACCATTTGGGGGGCTTTGAGGTGGATGGATGGGAGAGAGGAGGTGACCTGGGATAGATAAGCATCGCTCTGGTTCTGCTCAGGGGAAGAGAGATTTTGAGCCTACTGTATTCTCAACAACCTGCTCAGAGGTCAAAGACCTGTGAGGATGCAGGTCCTGGGTCAACAGGAAACCACCACGGAGCTGGACAGTCATGGCTGGATCTTATGGGTTAGATTTTCCCTTTTGGGAAGCTTGTTACAAAGTTGATACTACGAAACACACTTAGAAACATTCCATTTGATTTAGCATTTCAATTTTATATGATTTAGTTTTTTTTCTAATTTAAAGAAAACATCTATCTCAAATAGATGGGTCTCACACAGCAGTTTGTCTGCCTCATTGGCTCCAAGCTGCCCTTGCTTGTACCTCCCCAGCCCTGCTGTGAGTACGATATCCCCCACCTACAAATGTTACCTTGTTGAAAATTTCCAATAGAAAGACCCTTGGTTATTCCTCTTGCTTAGCAGGGCCTTGAAGGGCATGTTTTTCCATTAACTCTGAGCCTGAGGCATATGTCTCCAGAACCAGCTGTAGAGAGTGGAAGGGGCAAATCCCTTCTCTAGAACTCTGTCCCAAGTTGTTTGGAGGTCACCCTCTCTGGGAGCCTTCTGTTTCCTTGGGGGCCACTGTAAGCCTGAAGTCATGAGTCTTAGACCTATGCCCCGAGAGTATGTGTTTGAAACCTCTGGGAACCCAGATCAGAGAGCAATTAGCAGTCTGGAACAACCCATATGAAGGGGACAGCGGCTTCATTCTCTATTGCACATACAGCTTTTCCCTAATGGGATCACAGGTTCATCTTCCAAAGAACCTCATGGAAAAAGGTGACCAGCTGGGCCCTTTCAGCAGTCAGAAAGCGACTACGTTTAACCCTCTTGTTCTGTTGCCAGTGGAAGCGTGAGCAGGACTTTGACCTGCAGTTGCTGGAACGGGTCGTGCAAGGGGAAAAAAAGGACAAGGAGGAGAATGGCTGGTTGAAAGTGCAGGCCATGCCTGTCACTGAGTTGGACCTGGAGCCTCAAGACTATGACTTGGACATCAGCAGAGAGGTGAGGGCAGGCGCTTCCTTCATGTCCTCCAGGAGACATGGCCTTCAAGCTCCCAGCCTGACCACCTTCCCACTGTGGGGTATCACCCTGAACAGGGACATGGCTCAGCTTCAGTGTGGCCTAGGAGAATGGATGGATAGCAGCTTGAGGCAATGAAAGGAGGCCAGACGTTTCAATGAAGGTTCAAATCTCTCTCTAATTTAGGGCAAATTGTAATTTTAGCTTCTCTGTGCCTCAGTTTCCTCAACAGTGAAGTGGGTTGTGAAGAGGATTAAGTGACTCCACATGTTCTCTGGAGGTTTAGCGACCAAAGCAATCAAAGCCACATAGTAGGCACGTGAGCAGCAGTTGCTATTGTTAGGAAATGTTCCCTGCAACACCAGGGATTGGCTTTGCAACTGGCTGGTGAGGCCAACTTGGGCAGTCTGACTAGGGGAAAATGGGGGGCAGGTTTGAAAATCACAGGTGAAAATTTCCAGCCATGATAGAAGCTAGGGAACAGTGCAGTGTTCTGGTCTGAATTCTTCTGGTGCCCTCTGGTGGCTTATGTGCATCATGACAGGGCAGGCCCAGGAGAGCAAGTAACTGCTGGATCTACCCATCAAGAAATGTCTCTACCCAAGGGGAGAGAAAGGGAACTCAGGGTATGACACAGTCAACATCTTCAAGACGTAGATGGTCTCCTGGGGCCTATGTCGATGCTATTCCTAAGCTCTGCAGGGCAGTGTCTATGGCTGCTTGGTTCACCTTTGTATCCCTAGCCCCTGGCACAGGGCCTGGCACACAGTGGGTGCGTGGTACATCTTTGCTGCATGAAGACTGTGTGGAATGAATCACACAGTGACCCGTAAATGTACCAAAAGCATTTGTACAAGGACTTGGCCTGCCTGGAAATGGCACAAGAGGAAATGTTATCACCACATGAAGGATGGATCGAGGCGAGACCTCAATAAAACTTTTCCCCAGGTCTGTGTGATAGGAGAGTGAGTACTGAGGAGGACCTTGTCTTCTGGAGCCTTCCTGCTGTCTTAAGAGGCAGCGCCAGGCCTATTCACAAGCTGATTTGCCAATGGTATCTACCTGACTCAATATGTTACGGGTTCCTGTGGTCTTTGGGAACAAAGAAACAGCGTGTGGATAAGATAAGTGTCTGTAGAGTTGCTGAGTTTTGGGGTCTGCTGGGGCTCTAGGAGTTAACAAGGCTGGTCCCCTGCTCAAGACCTTGTTCTTTTGCCATCTGAAACAGCCAAAGATCTGTTGTGTTCTTAGATTCACAAAGGAAGCCCCGACATGCTGCCTTGGCAGGGGAAGTGTGTTCTGTAGTGTCCTGATTGCCTGCCAGTCCAGGGAAAATGTTCTTCCTTATCTCTAACCTAAATTCCTCCTGCTACAATGTAATCTACTTCCTTCCTCTAAATCTGTCCTCATTGGAGTAACAGAGAAGAGCTTATTTCTTGCCATCTCCAGCAGCGCAAAAGGGCTGCCTGTGGGTTTAAATCCATGACCAGGTTTGCCCTGGGATTGGGTTAAGCCCGTTTTTAGGAGCTTCAACCTACCCCATTTTAGTGTGCTTTTGTAATTCAGGGAGGAAAAAGTTCCTGGAGCATGCAAAAGCTTCCTTTAGTGTTCTTAGTCCAAGCAAAGTTTCACCAAGCCGAGTTTGCCACTAGTTCTACGGGAGATGCTGGTGAGGTGGAATTTGGGGCTGTCTTCCTCTGGCCAGCAGTAGATTCAGCATAGCTGCCTCCTGTCTAGATCAGAAGAGCCTTTTTAGGGACAGAAAGCACCATCACGTCCTTTCATTCACCCACCCGTCAATCATCCATTTATCCATTATCCATCCATTCAGGGAGATTTAGTTGGAGGGCTACTAAGTACTAAGTCCATGCATTAGACAGAGGAAGACAATGGTGAACGGAAAGTGAGGGGGTGGAGGGGATCAGAGAAGGCTTCTCAAAGTGAGGTTGAAAAGATGAGAGTCAATGGAACAAAAGGGAGAGCTTCCCAGATGGAACAGAGGCCCCACTGTGGGCGGGGAACTGGAGGGGCTGGTTGATCAGTGGCTGCAGAGGTCATCAGGGGTCAGGTCACTTAGGGCCTTGACGGTGGCATTAAAGATGATTATTTTCCCGAGAGCTTGTAGTCTAGCTATCTTGCCCTTCCCTTCCGCCAGCCTGTAGGAGGTTGTCTGGTGGAGTGGAAAGAACACGAGCTTTGGAGTCGGACTCAGGTTCAAACCTGGATTCCACAACTTACTAATTTTGTGATCTTAGCAAGTTACTTAGCCTCTGTGGACTCTGCTTGCTTCCCATGGTGGGAGGGGACGGGGATGGGAAAAGCGAGTCCTAAACCCAGACATCTGAGTGTCTCCCTCTGCCACCTCCTGGCCTCTCCCCAGTTGTCCAAACCAGAGAAGGTGTCAATCCCTGAGCGCTACGTGGAGCTAGATCCTGAAGAGCCACCTAGCCTTGAGGAGCTGCAAGCGCGTTACCGCAAAGCCGAGAAGATCCGCAACATCCTCGCCCGGTCAAGGTCAGTCCTCGCTTACTCAAGTGTTGGCAGGTCACCCTGACCCCAGGTGGTGTCTCTACCATGTGGGCCCTGGGCCAGGCTGGCTGGGATGCATGTTTTGCCAAGTCTTCGTCTCAGGTAAGCCCTACTCATTGGAGGGGGCAGGCTGGTACATTGCCAGCAGATCAGCAAGGAAGCTGCCTAGGTCATCTGGAAAGGCCTACAACATTTGTAGAGTCTTCTTGTCCTGGGCTTTCACCTCCAATTCTGTGTCCCAAGTGACCCTAGCAAGTGAGGAGAGTGGAGCCAAGCATGGCGTGAAGCGGAGCTAGTTGGAGATCAGCTCCAGTGATAGTCCTCCCAGCATTTGGGCCTGTGCACCCTCATGCAGACCAGCAGATCAGAGCCAAGGGTGCCAGCCTTGTCCCTAGGGCACCAGAGGCATTGCCCACTCCCCTGGATGCTGGCCTGGGGCCCTCTGAAGTGACTTGACTATCCCCTCAGCCTCAATAGCTTCAGAAACTTAATCTTGTTTGTATGCCTCCATTTCAGAGCTGGCTTAGCCATTTCATGTCTGAATTTAATAAGAGCCTCCAGCTAGATCTGTGAACTTAAGGTCTGTGGCCTTCCCAAAAGAGGAACAAAGCTGTGATCGTTTGGGTGTTTCAGGGAAAGCATGTACCTTTGTCTAGGGAGAAAGTACCCACAGTTTTTGTCTGAACCCCCTCAAAATGTTGAGAACCTCTAGGCCAGGGAGACCCTCCACTCCTGAGGCTGCTGCCCAGGGCAGGAGGGCCCATGGTCTGCTTCCGACCCTCCTGCAGCATGTGCAACCTGCAGCCGACCTCAGGCCAGGACCGGAACAGTGTGGCTGACCTGGACTTGCAGCTGCAGGAGCAGGAGCGCATCATCAACATCTCCTATGCCCTGGCCTCCGAGGCCTCCCAGCGTAGCAAGCAGGTGGCAGGTAAGGCCATGGCCCAGCCCCCAAGGCCTGGATCCTGCCCACTGCACCTGTGGACTTGGGCCCAGCATGGCCTGTTCCAGAGCCAGTGGAAAATCAAGTGTCAAGGATGGTAGTTGAGGGTCAGTGTTCCCCTGACCACTGGGCATCCTGTCCCATGAGCACAGCAGGACTTGGAAGGGAAGGTGGGGCAGGCCACACAGTGGGGGAGACCAAGGGGGCCCAGAAGCTCAGAAGTATCAGGGGAAGGCGGCCCCAGGAGGAGCAGTGCTGCTACCCCACTTCCTCGGAGACTATGAGCTAAGAGCAGGCTTTTCAAGGTTCTGATCCAAGGGGCTAAGGTTTCTGACCTCATGAAGAAGGGGGCAGGAAAGTGGTTGATGCTTGAATTTCTTGCTGGAGCAAGGCAGAAGGGGGCCCCTCCGGACCTCCCTGGTCCGCTGCCTTGGTCTCTAAACTAAAGCCAGTGTTCACCTTGTCAGAGTGTATTGTGCCAGAAAGTATGGGACGAAAAACATAACACCATGGGATGAGAACGTGTGTGTGTGTGTGTGTATCTCAGCATGTGTCTGTGTACGTGTGTCTGTGTGTATGTGTGTCTCTGTGTATAAAAGGGCTGCTCTTTCTCTCAGTCAGGAAGGAGACTGCAGGCTCCACCTTCCACTCACAACTCACCTGCCTGTGTGTGCCTTGTGCCTTCACAGTTCCCCCAGTACCATTTCTCCCCCAGTGCAGAGGCCACTGTGTGTCTGGGTGGTGCTCCTGGCCAGGTGTGCTCCTTCTGGGGAGGGGGCAGCCATAGAGCCTGAAGTGGTGTCATGGCCCCTACCAATTCTCCAACCCTGGCCAAAGGGTCTAGAAGTAGCCAAGGATGTGGCTGGCAGAGCCCTCAGAGACCTGGGCCTGGGGAGTCTGGTCTGGGGATCAGAGAGCTTTGCTGTGGCCCCAGAAGGCCATGAGAGTGACTGACAACAGGGGAGGGGCCATAGTCATAGTCAAAACCTGTTCTCTGTCCCCCACAGCCTGATCCTGCACAGTCCTTGAAATTTCTGCTGTCCTCAGTCCCTTCGAGCACATGCTGAGTGGGCTGAGAGTTGGCCAGTGTGGTGTTCTGGGACTAGGGATGCAGGAGATGACTCATCCAGACCTCTCCTCCTAATGACCCTGGGGCTCATCTAAGCAGCTTTTGAGCTCCTTCTGGGGAGGGTTCGAGCAGGAGCGGCTCCCCCACCATACCGTGCCCTCCTCTCGCCTTGCTTGCTCTAACCCTGGGGGGTCTGCCATCCTCAGCCTCCTTACTGCCAGCAGATGAGCGCCCCCAGCCCTAATATGCTGTGACCAGTTCCCAGGGCCTTTCTCCCTTCCTAGTCAGAGATGATTTTTGCTGCAGCCTTTCCTCACTCTCGGTCCCTCTCTCCATCTCAGAAGCATATCCAGGAACTGCAGGTTGACCCATCTGGTTGCCCACCAGGCCCCATGGGTCTGTCCCTCACCCTCAAGCCCAGGCCCTTCATGGTGGGCAGCAGGGCCCATGCCACCGCAGCCTGCCAAATGGGGCATCTGGTGCTGCAGGAGCTGACGAGGAGTCTAACACACCGCTTAATTCCTGTTGCCCCATCTAGCGCAGCAGCTGGCCCTCCTCCCGCCTAAAGGCCCCCTGTCTCCCAGGACGGTGCCACCTTACCCCCCTTTAACCAACGGACTCCACTACACCTTTGTCTAACACCTTCCAAGTAAGAGCCCCTGCCTGGTGTGCCCCTGCCTGCTCCCTGTGCCTCCCTAGCGCTGAGCTCCTCACCTCCCTGCTGTGCTGAAATGATTGCAGTGCCACCTGCTGACGCCTCCTTCCACTGGCAAAGCGGCCGCTGTGGGGACTGTCCTGACTGGTAGGCAGGTGGGAAAGTGATGCTTTTTAGGAACTGAGTCCTCAGTGGCTGTAATACAATAGGGACTGAGCGATACACCCTGCTGCCTCCCTGAAATCTCTAGAACCAGAACTATGCCCCCAACCCTTGCTCTCCTCAGTAAGGCAGCCTGATGCCCAAGAACCAGTGCAGCCCACACTGCCAGCCTCAGGGGACTGGAAGAGTTAGATCTTGGCCTTTCAGGGCTTTGGCCAAAGAAATGGAAGAACTGTAAGATTGGGAAAAGTCCAGTTCTAGAGATAAGGAAACTGAGGCCCAGTGAGGGGCCGGGGCTCATTCCAGGTCACAAAGAATTGGTGTCAGTGCAGAGGCTGGGACTGCCCTTTTGGTCACTGGGCACTTTAAGAGGGAGAGAAAGGGAAGCCCAGGGCAACGTGAAATTGGCCGTCAGCCAGGCAGAAAGCTCTGGCACCACCCCTACCAAGCCCTCCCCATGTGGGCATCTAGTGATGAGAGGCAGTGCGGGATGAGGAGGGAGCCCTGCAACAGGAGGCCGGCATCTGGTCCAGTCTCAAGTGAGTTCTTGGCCTGAGCCTGTTGCTTCGGAGCCCATTGGTTCACCTGGACAGGGGAAGGTCAGACTGGTGGTCTGGGCAGTCCTTTCCCTGACATCGCATCCCACTATCATTTTGCAGGGCTTTCCCCTCTCCTTCCTTTACATATACTGTGGTTAACATTGTTGAGTGCCTGCTGTGTGCCAGGCATTGTGCTAAGCATCTCTTTTGATCCATACAACAACCCTATGAAGATATTTCCCCCCATTTTACAGATGAGAAAACAAAAGCTCAGAGACCTTGAGGGATTTGCGCAAGGAATCACAGCTTGTAAGTGCTGGGGTTTGAACCCCTTTGATATGAGTTCAGAGCCTTTGTTCCCCATCACCACTCATGGATTCATCTGGGCCGCCCTGAGCAGCTCTAAGTGTTTGGAGAAAGAAGTGAAAAGAGGGAGAGAGTGTTTGTGCTGCAGGAAACAAAGCATGATTTTTTGTCAAGTGTCCATCCTGGGCTCCCCCTGCCTCACAGCAGAGCCAGCAAGTCCCTGCCAGCCTGAGCGTGGAAGGACGAGGCCAGCCTCCTTGGGCCGGGTTCTAGGAGGTGTGGAGGAGATGATTGAGGAGCCATAGGGAAGTGCTCTAGCCAGGTCCATTGTGAAGGCCACGGTTGGGGGTGTGGCTTTCTCCTACAGATCTGAGCACAGTAGCAGCGCTCAGGCACAGAGAGGCAGGAGAGAGACTCTGTTCCTACTGGGTTTTGGTGCCCCCATGGCTGTGAGATCGGCCTTTTATACCCTTTTTGGAGTACTGCATTTCTTCTTACCCTCACAGCATCCTTGTTAAGAAGTGGGTATGACCACCATGTTTTTTAGGTTAGAAAAACAAGGCCCACAGAGGTCAAGAGCGCTACCCACATTCAATGAAGGGCAGGGCCAGACTGCACCCTTATTAGAGTCTTTGCCCTATCAGGATGGGGACCTAATTTAGGGGCCAGCATGTGTCTAGCAGTGGAGTAGGGGTGCAGGGAGGGCGGGGTGAGAGCCCCATGTGTCCTAGAAGCTGAGGGTCCCACAGCGGCGGCCGCATTGCTGGAGCCCCCTGCTCTGCTGCTCTGCCTGTCCGCCTATCTGCCATTCTGTCATGTGTGTGCAGACGTGCCTGTTCCCTGGATGTGAGCAGGGCTCCTGCCAGCTTCTCACTGTCGCCTGTGCTTTTTGCCAGCCCAGGCAGTGACTGACCCGTGACTCAGCACACGAAGGAGAAGCCTGGAGCCAGGGGCCCAGTGGAACCAGCTTCCTCCAAGGAGATGACCTTTCTGCCCCCAAGGAAACCACTTCCAGCTGAGCAGGGAATCTGGCTGGAGGAAGGAGCAGCTTACTGACTACAGGTGTTCACCACAGACCAGGTCCTAATATGCACCCACTAGTTTAGCTCAGACTCCTCTCTACATATGAATGGCAAAGGCACTTTTGATACACACTGTAAAATATACTGTATTTTAGAATCGGAATCTATTTTCTAATGTTCACCTCAAGGGCTGAGTGGTAGGAAGGGTGAGGATGCAGGACTTCGCAGCTGCACATACAGATTTGGGTACTTTGGGTGACAGGTGTTGGGGGGTGGGAAGGGCGGGGCAAGCAGAGGCTAGTCCAGCTTCCAATGACCTTAGGAGAAAGTGAGATTTGAAGAGGTGTTCCCAGTAGACTCCAGCAAGAGGCTGGTTGGCGTGCTGTCTGGGAGTAGAGGGAACCTTGGCTGCAGAGATCAGCTGTCCCTGACCTGATGACCCGCTCTATGTGAAACTCCACCAGGATCGCACATGGAGCCCAAGTCTGTGCCTTGCCCCTTGGGTTTGGCTTAGGGGCAACAGTGTGTTCAAGAGTACTGGGGCCCACAGGCTTCCCTCAGCAAAGGGCTCTTGTCAGAAAGAAAAAAGCAGTTTGCTTTCTCTCTCTTTTTTTTTCTTTTTTGAGACAGAGTTTCACTCTTGTTGCCTGGGCTGGAGTGCAGTGGCGCTATCTCGGTTCATCGCAACCTCTGCCTCCCGGGTTCAAGCGATTCTCCTGCCTCAGCCTCCTGAGTAGCTGGGATTACAGGCATATGCTACCACGCCCAGCTAATTTTGTATTTTTAGTAGAGACGAGGTTTCTCCATGTTGGTCAGGCTGGTCTTGAACTCCCGACCTCAGGTTATCCACCCGCCTCGGCCTCCCAAAGTGTTGGGATTACAGGTGTGAGCCACCACGCCTGGCCTGCTTTCATTTTTAACAGTACACATTGAAGTACAGAAAATGTGAGAGGAAGCAACTTTCATTGTATTATAGCAATAAACTCCATACTGGGTGACATCTACCTAGAAATCCCTTCCCTCCAACCAGGCCATGATGGGAACCTTTGCGGCCTGCCCTTGGAGAATCCCGGGTTGGCTTCCCTGGGACTCAGGTCTGGTGGCAGGAGGGCAGCAGTGTGCCCCCACCATCCCTCATGGCCATAATGGCAGGACTTTGATTTGACTTCCAGCCCCACATGAGGAGGGGGGCTACCAAGCCAGGTGCAGTGTTTGTGGCCCTTTATTTAAGTTGTGTTCTTATATTATTCTGCATATAAAAAATGACGTTTAAATGGAAATACAACAACAAAAACCTCCATTGGGTGGAGCCACACTTTAAATGAAAATTTCTCTTTGACTATGCTCAGAAAAAAAATAGAATTTTGAATATATTTAGCAGTTGTCGTCTATTTTTAACTAACTCCATATGCTGCCAGTATCGACTTCATGACATTTGCCAAAATAAAATTTTATTTTTGCCTTTGTAAGATTTTCTTGGAGAAAATGAAATGAATATTTTGCAAGAAAAAGTTAATTTAAAAATGTAATGGTTTGCAAAAAAAATGTGATGTACAGATTAAAATATTAACCTGATACGTTTCCTGTTTCTCGCTGGCTATAGTCTCTGGTGAGTGGCCTGTGTACATTTGTTTCCATTTCTTTGGAAAATCCCCACTGTCAGCTCTCGGTCCTGCTTCTGTTTACCTATGAAAAGTTTCTTCTGGTGACGGTTCCTTGACATTTGATTGACTGTAGAGGCCTGGAGTGAGGAGGCCTGTGCTTCTGGGTCCCTGGCTAGGCTTCCACAGCTGCTCAAGGCAACCCCCTACCCCATCCCAGTCAAGGAGCCGCTGGGCTGTGGACTCCCTCGTGGGGCCGGTTTTGTCAGACAGACTGCAGTCCAATTCAAGACAGCACAGGGAACGCTGCGGGCCCCCTTCCAACCCACATGCTGCTGGCTCGCTCCTGGGAGGCAGCTTAGTGACGGACCATTGCAAACTGGATTTGTATTTAATTCATTTTGACTTGTGATGTATGCTCAAAACAGAAGGCAAGAAGCCAGTTCCATTGAGGGGTGTGTATATTTCTGAGCTTGTTGTTATGGCAGTTTTTCTCTACTGCCAAGAAGAACATCCGAGGTTCATGGTGACTTTCCAACTGTTTAAATTGGGGAAAGTAGATTCCAGGGCATTCCGAACAGGGGGTACTGCTGCTTTTTTGGCTACTGAACTCTTTGAATTTTAAAATAAAATGTACTCTTTGGTTTTAAACATTATTTGGAAATGTCACCATAACAGATGAAGTGGGGTGGTGGTGGTGGTGAGAATGATTTCATAACTGAGTGCAAAGCCCCCCAAACCAAAAAAGGAACCACACAGGAGATAATACCCACTCCACAGGGTGGCCATCTGTAGACATTTTCTCAGTGAAAACATGCCAGTGGTTTTTTTATTTGATTTTTTACTGTTGGTCTCACTTTCTGTCTCACACATACAATCCTGTGTAAGAGGGAATGCGGAACCCCCTCCCTTGCTGCTGGTTTTAGAGTGTGCCGTCAAGGAATAGGGGTACCCTGTTCTACAGGAATTGAGGCCCAGATTTCAATCTACAGAGTGAGGGAGTATGTGACAGGCCCTCAACTTGGAGTCGACGGAGAGTACCATGCTCAGAAAAGGCACACTCCAGCTTTATCCTGCGTAAGCAGGCGATGTGGCCTGGCTTTGAGAGCACTCTCGTTACCTGAGGTAAGATGGGGCCCTCTGTGACAGTGCTGGCTGGCTGGTGACACTACAGGGTAGGGAAGACTCTGGGGAATGCCATGTGGCCCTATGATTCCAACTTCCCTTCCTTCCAGGAGACCCCAGGACCTTAACAAGATTGCAGTTGACGAAGGGGATGTGAGCACACTTCTGCATCCGTTTGCTGGTGTCCACTCCTCAATTCTGACTTTAACCCGGGTCTAGGTTGAGCCCTGGATGTCTAGTTATAGCAAGAACCAACAAAAACATTTTAGGATCTAGTATGAAATGGGTTAGGAATAACATCTTTTCCTAATGCCTTCTTGAACCTCCTGAACTGCCAAGATTCTCAACATGTCCAGAACGTCTTTCAGATTATTATAATCGTATGTAGGGTTTGTGAGTCCACATGAAGTAGATGTGCCCAGACTAGTGTAGACGATGAGAACAAGTGTTTTGTTTTCTCCATCATTTACTTTTCTGCCTGCGTTGGTGTCTGTGGGAGTGTAAGCTGCAGCTAGCCCCTTCCTCTCTCTCTAACCCCTGGGCTGCCTTCAGGGCAGCTGGGTTCTCTAGAATTTTCCTGGTTATTTTAGGTTGCAGGCCATGGCCAGGGAACCATCTATCTGCCCACAGTTTCATTCCAGGGGCCTAAAGGGGTGGGGGTGGGGTGGAGCAGACCCTGGCTCAGGCTCAGCCAGACAGGAGCCCATTTTGGCTTTGGGAATTTCCCGCAAGGACAGCGGAGGACTCCCTGGCAAGTCCTTTTGTGTTCTTACCAAGGGTGGGAAAGAAGCAGCAAATTATTTGTCTAATCCCCAAATCACATTTCTGAGACGTGGCAGACGAATACTGGGAGCCCTCTGCTTCCGACACAGCATCAGATGCTGGGGTGTGCAAGGGACTTTGCCCATGTGGGTTGTGCACCGTTATGAAAAGAACAAAGAGACCTGGCTAGGGAAGACATGAAAAATGGCAGAGCCCCTCCCAGCCCGGTAAACACGCCATGGCTTTGCCACCTCCACTCAAAAGGCTACCACTTTCATTGCTCTCCTAGCAAAGAAACCTTTCTTCAGAGCGAGTGGCGGGGTACAAAGGCAGAGTACAAAATGTGCGCACATCACAGTCCCTGCAATTCTGTTTGAACAAGCGTATTGATTGGGTCTGACCCTGTTACATTTTTTCCCTATTATTTGAAAAGGTGCATCTAAGTGTAGTGAATTGAACCAGTGGAGCTGAACTTTCCATGAAAACTTCTCAAGGTATTTCTTTAGTTCAAAGCTTTTGAATTTTAAAGGGCATTTTTAATATGAGTCTGTTGAGTATTCTCTGCCACAGCCCAACAAGGGATGTTAAATGCAGATGAGGTTGGAGCAGGGTGAGGAAGGAAGCGGACCTGCAGGGGAGGGTGTCTACCAGTCCAGGAAGGTCTGGGTTTTGGGGAGAAAGGCTAAGCCCCATGCTTTGGAGCAGCTCATGCAGACCCTAAAAGGGACCTCTCTGAGCACAAGGGCAACTGCTTAGCGATAGGGAAGAGGCTTCACAGCTTAACTTGAAGACTTGAACTGAGAGAGCCAGGAAGCACTTGCTGAGGGCTCCTCCAAAGGAAGAGGGTTTTGTCCTCATGCATAAGGGCCTCATTGCTGTTTACTTTCTCTCATACTCGGCGCTAGAGCTGGGAAGGAAGGTGGGAGGCTGAGTCCCTTGACTGAGCTCACAGACAGACAGGAAGCTGCAGTAACTGTCTGCAGTCACCTACATCCTCCAGCCCCCGGGGGGACCTCACTGATCAGTTGCAGATGCTTTCCCACTGAGCCCTGGGCTGCATCTCAATCCTTAACTGATCTGATGTCTTTGGATTTGGATGTGTTGCTGGTTGTGTGCACCATGGCAGCAGTCCCTTTCGCCATCCTGTCCCAGGACCCTGGAACTGTCCACCAAGTCTCACTCTCCCTACACGGAAGGAGGCTCTCTTTGAGGGCACTGAGGGTGCACGGCTCCTTTTGACTGAGCTCCTGGCTCATGCTGGTCTGAGTCTCTGTTGCCCCTTGAGGCCTCTTGGGCATGGAAAGCACCTCCTTCCTAGACCCAGAATTCAGGTTCAGAGGCAGAATCATCCCTGGGAGGAGCTGGAAAGTCAGGTCCTGCACCGAGAGAACCCAGGGCTTGGACATCCCAGCGAAGTCCTTTCAGGGTCTTTGCCAAATCTCCAGCCTAGAAGACAGTGGCCTGGAGGAGCACAGTAGGGTCAGAATCACAGTGAAAAGCAGTAGTCTCTGGGTCCCTCTCTGCCCACAACTGTGGGAACATCAGCCCCTGCCCCCAGAGTCCTCTTACGTTGTTCTGGGAGCCCCCAGAGGTGTTCCATGTATGCTCAGAAATCCATTTTCTTGGTTGTCACTTTCAGGACTTTCTGCTGTTACCTGTGTTTCTTGAGGCCACACTGGCTGTTAGGCAAAATAAGGTCCCAGTGACAGTAGTAACTCAGATTTCATGGCCTCTGCCTCCTGCTGCTCACCACAGAAGTCTTCTGCTGTTGTCTCACCTGGTTATTCCCAGGAGCCCCCAGACTTTCCTCATGTGAACTCACAACTGTCCTGTCAAGTTTACGTTCTTCCACCTGCAGCTACTTGATGCCTACTGGCCATGAAGCCTGGAACAGG